GCTACACGGACACAGCTGCCCTGCCGGAGACGGCAGCGGAGTCGATGGCCGGAGAGGATTTTGTCCCCCGCGACGAGTGACTGGTGTGCCCTCGTTCGCGTCTATAAATCGTTTTGCCTCTTTGTATGATGAATGCAGTTCCTTGCCCTACAATGAGCCCGAAACGAAAGACACGCCCCCTCCTGCCCCCGCTTCGACTCCGTCTCCGACTCTGCCCGCGACTCCGACCATCGTCCTCCGCCGCCTCACTGCCTGGGAAAAGAAACTGCCCAAGCAGTACACCGTTGCCGCTGCCCCTGGGGCGAACTCCCTCCACCTCCCGTTAGAGCTCGAGTCCACCACCAGCGCCTGAAGCTCTCACTCTCTGGGCTTGTCGACTGTGGTGCCACCTCCGACTTCATTGACACGAACTATGTTGCTCGGAATGGCATTCCGGTCCGCACCCTCGATCAGCCGATTCCGGTTTTCAACGTCGATGGCACCCCCAATGACGCTGGCTCCATCAAACAGATCGCGGACTTGGTCCTGCGCTACAAGGGCCATGCCGAACGAGTTCAGCTGGCCGTCACCCATCTTGGCAAGCAAGACCTCATCCTGGGGTATTCCTGGTTGCGGAAACATAACCCAGAGATCAATTGGGAAACGAAGGAGGTCAAGATGACACGGTGCCCCCGCAATTGCTCGACCTGCCGTGAGGAAGAGCGCGTCGAACGGACCGGGTGCGGCGACTCCGGTCGCTTCAGAAGCGTCTCCGCTCCGGCCCGTTCCCCTCGGTCTGCGCCATGGACCTTTCTGGGACTGATGACGGAGACGATTCCGTCTCCGGTGACGACTCCGGCCTGCCTGATCTGACGCCGGACTCCGACGACGATGATGATGATGGTCAGCTTGAAGATGGTGACCGCATCTTCTACACCTCGTTCCGCCCCTCGGAGGAGATACGCGCTGGCAGTACTGTCTCGCAACGCCTGGCCGAAGCCTTCGCCAGGAACTCCGCCCTCCGAGATCCCGGACTGGGCTAAGGAGTTCCAGGACGTCTTCAACAAGGAGTCCTTCGACACGCTACCGGAGCGGAGAGCCTGGGACCACGCCATTGAACTCGTCCCCGACGCTAAGCCCACCAACTGCAAGGTGTACCCCATCTCGCCCCTCGAGCAACGCGAGCTCGACGCGTTCATCGAGGAAGGGCTTTCGACGGGCCGGATTCGCCCTCCAAGTCTCCGATGGCGTCTCCGGTCTTCTTCGTCAAGAAGAAGGACGGCGGACTCCGCTCGTCCAGGACTACCGTGCTCTCAACGCGATGACTGTCAAAAACCGGTACCCCCTTCCGCTGATCAACGACCTCATCAACCGGCTCAAAGGCGCTCGTTACTTCACCAAACTCGACGTCCGCTGGGGCTTCAACAACGTCCGGATCAAGGAAGGTGACGAGTGGAAAGCGGCTTTCCGGACTAACCGAGGCCTGTTCGAGCCCTTGGTGATGTATTTCGGCCTGACAAACTCTCCCGACGTTCCAAACGATGATGAATGACATTTTTCAGGACCTCATCCTCTCCGGAGACGTCATGATCTACCTTGACGACATCCTGATCGCCCATTCCGACCTCCGGAAACACCGGCAGATTGTCCAGGAGGTCTTACGGCGACTCCGGGAGCACAAGTTGTACCTTCGAGCGGAGAAGTGCGACTTTGAAAAATCGTCAATCGAGTACCTCGGAGTCATCATCTCCCACAACCACGTCGAAATGGACCCCGTCAAGGTTGCAGGCGTCTCCGCTTGGCCGACTCCGGAAAACAAGAAGGACATTCAGCAGTTCCTTGGGTTCGCTAACTTCTACCGCAGGTTCATTCGGGACTTCTCGACCCTTGCGCGCCCTCTTTTCGTGCTCACCAAGAAGGACCAGCAATGGACTTGGGGCGACGCGAGGCCTCCGCGTTCCAAGCGATCAAGGACGCGGTCACCTCAGAACCGGTCCTGGCGATTCCGGACGACACCCGGCCTTTCCGACTCGAGGCGGACAGCTCTGATTATGCAACGGGGGGCGGTTCTTTCACAATCCGCCCCGGACGGGAAGTGGCACCCTGTAGCATTCTATTCCAAAAGCTTAAATGATGTCCAGCGCAACTACGAAATCCACGACAAGGAGATGCTCGCGATCATCCGCGCACTCGAGGAGTATAGACACTTCCTCGAGGGGCGCTGCACCCTGTCGAGATTTGGACTGACCATAAGAATTTGGAGTACTTCAGGAAGACGCAGCACCTCAACCGGAGACAGGCCCGGTGGTCTCTGTACCTCTCCCGGTTCGACTTCACGCTGCACCACAAGCCTGGCCGCGATATGGGTCGGCCTGACGCCCTCTCCCGGAGACCCGACCACGGAGTCGATTCCGACAACTCCGATGTCGTCCTTCTGCGGCCTGAACTCTTCCACGTCCGCGCACTCGAGGGCGTTTCCGTTTCCGGTCCCGGCTCTGAACTCCTCCGTGACATCCGTGATGCCCTCTCCGGTGAGCCTGACCTGGAGGAGCCCGTCGCACTAGCGGCCCGGCAACTTCTTAAGGTTCAAGGTCAAGCTCGAGGCCCCCGCTCCTCACGTTCTGACGAATGGGCAGTCTCCGGCGGTCTTCTCCATTTCCGAGGAAAGATCGTCGTACCAAAAGACAAGGACCTCCGGAGACGCATCATCGAGCTCTGCCATGACACCCGAGTCGCCGGACACGCAGGTCGTTTCAAGACCCTGGAGTTGGTCTCCCGGAACTACTGGTGGCCTCAGATGTCTCGCCATATCGGCCGGTATGTTGCGACCTGTGACTTGTGCTGTCGCACCAAGGCACTCCGGAGACTGCCCCACGGAGAACTGCACCCCACGGAAACGCCCCCGAACGCTGGCATACCGTCTCCGTCGACTTCATCGTAGAGCTTCCCGAAGCCCATGGGTACGACGCGATCATGGTCGTTGTTGACACCCTCGGAAAGCGCGCCCACTTCTCAGAGTGTCATACGACGGTCGATGCAGTAGGGGCAGCCCGCCTCTACTACCGGAATGTCTGGCGGCACCATGGGACTCCGGAGAAGTACGTCTCCGACCGCGGCTCGCAGTTCATCGCGGACTTCACCCGAGAACTTTGGCGTCTAATCGGCATCAAGCCCGCCACGCCTACCGCGTACCACCCGCAGACAGACGGTCAGACAGAGCGCGTCAACCAGGAGCTGGAGCAGTACTTGCGGATCTTCACCAACTACCAGCAGGACGACTGGGATGAGCTGATTCCGGCCGCGGAGTTCGCCTACAACAACCACGTTCACTCCTCCACGCAGCAGGTCCCCTTCATGACGGACACGGGACGGCTCCCGCGCATGGGCTTCAACCCGGAGTCCGTTCCGCCATGGAGTCAGTGAACGAGTTCCGCGACCGGATCGCCACTGGTGTTGCTGAAGCCAAGGCCGCTCACTAAGGCCAAAGAGGAGTACAAGCGCTACTACGACCGGAGACGGACTCCGTCTCCGGAGTTTAAGGTTGGCGACCGTGTTTGGCTGGATGCCTCTGACATCAGGACGACTCGCCCCTCGGAAAAGTTCTCCCATCGCCGCCTCGGACCGTTCAAGATAGTCGCGGAGATCAGCAAAGGTGCCTACAAGCTCGACCTCCCTCCCGCGCTACTCGAAGCTCCACCCGGTCTTCCCCGTCGTCAAGCTCGAGCTCGCCCAGGACGACCCCTTCGACGGACGCCCCGGCTACGACCAGCCCCCTCCGGACCTCGAGGACGGAGTCCCGGAGTGGGAAGTAGAGGAAATCCTGGACGCAAGGGTGAGCTATAAACGGCTGAACTACTTCGTCAGATGGAAAGGCTACGACGCATCGCACGACCAATGGGTCCGCTTCGTCCGCGTCTTTGCCCCGGAGAAAATTGCGGAGTTCTATCGTAAGTACCCCGGCAAGCCACGACACATCGCCTCCGCGACCTTCGACTCGATTCCGTTCCGGTCTATGCGTCGAGACGCCGCATTCAAAGGGGGGGGTGATGTCAGGGGAACCTCCCTTTCGGCCCGGAGACGCGCCCGATTCCGGTCCGACTCCGGTTCCGACTCCGGTCCGGCCCTCCATCTTGCCCGCACAATCACCGATCCGTCAACGCCCTCCCGACGGTCGCCCTGGGACCTCGCCTGCGACGCCGCTCAAGCCTTCTGTGCCCGACAGCGGCAGCTACAGACAAGCAGTATATAGTCAGCTACCTAGCAGGCGGACCCTTAGAGTTTCTTCTCTTCGGATCCTCCCCTGCTAGGTCAGCTTCATTTGTATTCGCTTACCAATGTTCACTCTTCGGATCCTCCCCTGCTAGGACCTTGATCTCAGGCCTCCGGGGTTGCCCTTACACAGGCCCAGGAGCTTGGATAGCGCACTCTGTCACAGGCCCATCACCAGGTGATTCATCGGGGGTACAGAGTTGCTGAGATGGCCCGCCACGCCGCCGCGGGGGTGGGTTTGTAGCTGAGCCTGCACGATAGTATGGCTTGAGCTATCATGGTGGCCATGGACGGGGCCGCAGCCGGAGGGCGATGGAAAAACAGCCACTGACGCTGTTTCCATCGCCGGCGCGCACTGGCATGGGTGTACATGGTGTCGGTCACATGCCACCATGTACACCCACGCGCGCCTGCCAGTGCCCCGGGCCGGCGCCCCTCCCGAGTCCGCGTCACAAGCTCCGCGGCCCCCGGTACAGCTACAGCTGAAAGCACATGCACTTGCAATGCCAGTGGCCAGACGGCGCAAGTGCCCGACGCGACTCCGTTTGTCATATCGAAGAGCCTGGGAAGGACGCAAGGACACGGCCCGGACAACGGGAGAGGCTCCGGCTACAGCTACAAGCAATGCATTCAATCGGTGCGTATTCTACAGCGGTGTACAGAGCCAGGTGTCGCGGGAGAATACCAAACAAACGAGTGCTTATCATGCGTCATGCCTCAACGGGGAGTGCGAGGAGCGGCCCGCGCTCGACTCAGCACACCTCCATCTCGTCGTCGTGGTCGGCTGCGGCCAGCCTGCGCAGCGGGGACGGAAGCACAGCCCGCGCCCGCAGCGGCGCGCGGACGCCGGCGCGCTCGGCCCGGCGGAGCAGCAGGCGCGCGACGACGCCGCACAGCGGGTCGGCACACACCTCCACCGGGCTGGGTCCAGGGCCGGGGCTGGGCGAGCGCGCGACCCACGCGAGCAGCGGCGTCAGCGGCCGCCCCACCGCGCCCTCCTCGCCGCCGATGACGACGGCGGGCGCGGGGCTCGGGCCGGGCAGCGCGAACGAGCCGCGCGCGGGGGCTCGCGACGAGGCGGAGTGGCGCCAGCCGTACTGCGCCAGCGTGCCCCGCAGGCGCGCGGCGAGCTGCCCGTCCAGCGCGTCGAGGTCGGTCACCTGCCCGGGCATCGCGGCGTTTTCGTTCGCGTTCTCGTCGGCGCACGCGTCGAGGGCGCGCAGCCGGGCCGCGACGGCGCGCTCGACGAGCGCCATGAGGCGGAGGTCCGCGTGCGGCAGCGGGGGGAGCGGCGTCGGCGGGGCGGCGGGGAACGTTTTCGGTGGCGTGCAGCCGGGCGCGCGCTTGGCCTTGCGCGGCTTCGCACTGGCACGCGCGGGCGGGGTCGGGACGGGGCGCAGCGGGCTGCTCGCGGCCGCCGCCGACGCGCGGGTGTTGTACGTGCGCGTGGGGACGTGCACCGTGCGCGCGCGGACGCGGCGCGGGGGCATCCCGTCGCCGCGCTCCTCCTCCTCGCGCGCGACTGCGGGTGGCGTGTCGGCGTCGGGGAAGGGGACGCACGAGCCGGGGAACGCGACGGTGTCCTTCTCCGTGCGGGCCGGGGCCGGCGGCGGGGGCAGCCGCAGGCCCTCCTCGACGAGCTCCATCGGGGAGTAGCCCGCGGTGGCGGTGGCGGTGGCGGTGGCGGTGGCGGTGGCGGTGGCGGTGGCGAGGGAGAGCGCGCAGCCGGCGGGGGCCACCTTGGCCTTGGGGCGGAGCGCGGGCGGCGGCGGGGAGCGGGCGCGCGCGCGCAGGGAGTTCGAACGAGCGTGGTTCGCGGGGGCGAGCGGGAGTGGGAGTGGGGTGGGCGGCAGCGGGCGGCGAGTGGCCATCGTCGTCCGTCCTTCGTCTTCGCCTTCGTCAATCCAAATCGTCAGTCGTAGTCGTGGTCGTGAACGGGAGGAGGAAAGGAAAAGGCGACGAGCCGCCGGGGAAGGTGGGGGAAGGGAAGAGAAACGCGCCACGCCCCGTCACCCTCGTCACGCGGCCCTGGATCCGGTGCCTCGTGGTGACCTCATGGCCCGGGTACCCATCGCGTATCACGCTCCCACGCCAATTATCCCTGCCCTCCGCTTCTCGCTGATCCTCGCTCCGTCGCGCGTCGCCGTTGCCGTTGCCGTCGCGACGCACACTCGTGGCGCGACAACCAACGCGAGGTAAAAAGAAATAAAAACCTGAATAAAATAAAAACGATATGGAATTCATGGCGGACCGCACGGCCCGGCTCGCGCCGAACGCCGCGCACCACATCAGGTCAGAGGTGCAGACGCCCAAGCCCAACCAGGGCCAGACCCCACAGGCTGCAGTCAACCAATCTAACCAATCTAGCCAATCCCATCTACTCCACTTTAATCCAAACCCAAACCCAAAACTAAAACTAAGACCCTGCAGGCCATAAAAAGCAAACTCTGAGCTCCTACTCTTGGCATCCAGCACGCGTGTCGAACGGACACCCTCCATGCTGGCTAGGCGCTCCTCGGCTGCAGGCACCTCCTTGTGTGCGTCCCATGGAGAGTGTTTATGAGAACACTCAAAAAGATCATATTCCTCTTACCAGATCACACTGCCCCGTGATATGCATCACATGCCCCCACATCAGGCCAGAGGCGCAGATACCAGTTCCTACACCCGATGCATACATCCACGCCCAACTCTTCCGCCAGAGCCCACAGGCTGCATGCACAGCACACCCACCCACCCAACGAGAAGCCAATCAACCCAACCAAAACCAAAACCAAAACCAAAACCAATCCATTCCAAAACCAAAATCCAGCTCGAAAGAATTATCATCCAGCACGTGTGTCGAACAGACACCCTCCGTGCCATGCTGTGCTGGGCACCACTGGGCTGTGAGCACACATTGTGTGTATCCTGAGTGTTCAGCCCTTATGCAAAGGCCCGAAGGGCCCTTTGACATAAGGTCCCCTTGAACCTTGGGCAAACACTGCATAGGAATGCTGGCAGTGGTATTGATGTACCCCCAGTGTAAGCCAGCCATAACCAGGACCCGTGTCCTGCTTAAAAAAATTATTTTCCTTCGTCACACCCACCTGTGCCCCATCTCCAAACTACCCTGCCCCCAGTTGAGTACACAATGGCACCTGTGCAGGCCTCGAACGCACAGGATGCCTGGGAGTTTACTCAGGTGGGCAATCTGGATACCCTCAGCATAATCCACACTATGTACCCTAATCAAAAAAAAAAAAAAAAAAAAAAAAAAAAAGTGCCATCATCTGCACTTGCAGCTCAGAGTTATATGAAATCAGACCTTTGTCGTCACCGTTGTAACGAACATTCTGTGGCATGGCACCCAATACATACCCCCCCCCTCAACCTCTGAAAGAAAGGAAAAAATTTAAACAAATGTTACCATTTCTATTATCGACCACATGGCCCGGCTCGCACCGAACACTGCGCACTACAGGCTGTGTCATGTGTGTTCTTGGCCTTGGAAAAGAGTTGCAGATACCCAATGCTCGATCTCTGCTCCTGATACCTCGCATATATCTGTGCCCCGCCCTAGCCAGCCAGGCCAGACCCCCACAGGCCAGCCACAAGCCAATATCAAGTTTCAACAAGCCAATCCAATCCAAAACCAAAAACCCCAGAACACAAAAGCTGAAATTATGCACACACAACAATTATATGCCAGTCCACATGTGTGCCGAACAGACACCCCCTTGCTAGGCACTGGCACAATGGGCACCCACACCTGTGCTGCCAGTACTTCCCACTATCAGATCATGAATCTGTTTATGGGAATCCTAGCGGTGGTACTGGTACACCCCCAGTGCAAAACATCAGGACCAAACCAACACCAAGCTGCAAAATCTAAAAAGGTTTTTAAGAAATGGATCTCACAGCCCAGCGGCGTGCCGAACGCTGCACTGTGCTCCCTGCATACAGCCTATTGGACCCAAGGTGCACATCTCACTGCTCCTATTGCTGCCCCCTACTGCTCCTACCACCACATCTGTATCCAGGCCCACCAATGCCCCAGCCAGGGCCAGGGCCAGACACCTGTGTCCCATCTCCACACTTCTCTGCTGTAGTATGTTGATCAAATGTCTACATTACTAGTACTAGCCAATCCACCCAAACCAACCAATCCAATCCAATCCAAACAAACAAACTAAAATCCAACCCAATCCATCCAATAGACCAAAACCAAAACCAAAACCAAACTCAAAACTAAAACCCTGCAGAACATAAAACCCAAACTCTATGCTACTAGTCTTTGCCATCCAGTATGTGTGTTAAATGGACACCCTCTCTGCTGGGCACCCCTGCAGGCACTTCCTTGTGTGCATACCATGGAGAGTGTTTCATAAGAATGCTAAATGTATTACTAGTACTTGTTATGCACCCTTAGTGTAAGCCCACTAATAAGGTACACAGTGTTCTCTTTAAGAAGCATCCTTCTCACTTACAACTATATCCAAACTAAGTTGATAGGATATAGAATTGTTGCCACCCAGTGCCTCAGATCACCAGACTTGTCTGCCCTAGCTACTGCCTCTGCCATCTCCAGTGCAGGGGGTACAAAAGCTGCCTGTGCCTAATCAACATAATCCCCAGCTCAAATCCCACAAACTCTAAAATCCAAAAAAAAATCTAGCAGACCCCTGTGCATAGCTCGAACACACAGGGTTCTGGGAATGTAGATATGGTAACCCTAGTGGCCATGGGCACACCAAGAGGTAGGCTGGACATCCATCCACACTACATCATATTGTGTGCCCTAATATAATATGGTGTGCCACTGCATTTCCTCTTGAAGTAATAGCTAGATGCTTGTTTGTTAGATTTGTTATGCCCCTCCTTTAGCTTCCCACTCTAGGTCAATAGACTGCTAGTCACGCTGTGTATAGTGATTGATGCAAAGAGCTTGCTTAATACGGTCTATTACGAGAGGCTCTCAGCACTTGCCCAGTTCTTAAAGGCAATAAATCACACTGGCATTTAGCAGATAGCACGCGGCTTTTACCACTTCTGACAGGGAGCCCACAAAATCTGGATACTGGACTGTTCGTCATAACCTGTCTTGTCGATGTCATGACCCACGCGTTATCTCTTCCTACTGTGCACTTCTTAGTGCTACCCTCACTATATTTGCGCCACCACTATGTTTCAGCTCGTGAGAGTTTCATGGCATCTATATTCCAGTCAGCTACAGTTGGCAAAACTAAATACATTTACAAGGAACATGCATTTTGTATCTCTGGTGGCGTCAATGAACTTGAAGACCATTTAGCCTGCACTCGTCTGTAGTAGTAGGATAGCTTTCTCAACGCTACTATCACTAGCATAGTTAGAAATTGAAGGGGAGAGTACTGTTGCATTTTAATCAATTCGTCATGGCTCAAGGGCCGTGACATGCCTGAAAGAACTTGGCAATTCGTCGGGCTGTCCCTATTAGATAATTTCGCGCCAGAACGGAACGAAAATTTCCTTATTTTAACATCTTTGAGGCAAAATTTCAGTGGTTAAGGGTGACTAACGGAAAAAAAAAATTGTCAGATTTAGGTGAATGTGACATGTGACTGACAAACTGAATAAAATGACACAGTAGTTTATGTGATTGGGGATCACGAGTACTTATATAATCGCCTATCAATCTGTGTTGTCTATGTTTCATTGACAGGACCTCGATCTAGAGATATGCCACCTCTCTCCACTTCTGTCCCGGTCACTTTTATCCCTTTATCTACTATTGGTACTATGGGAAGTATTTGCTGCCTAGTGATGGACCCTCAAGTTGGGATTCCATGTCAGGCAAGCTCTAGAGATCTGAAGAATGGTTTAGTCCTCAACATGAGTTAATGGTCAACGTTTTAGCGAGAAGACGTGACTGTCATTTGTTCCTGCTTGTCCACCTTCTTGTTTTTGTAACCTCTCTAGTAATTTTCTCTTATTTATCAGAAGGGCTAAAATATCCAGTGTTCCGTGTCATTTAATTGCTCTAGAATGCAGATGCAATCAGTTTCTTGAACACTTCAGGATACAAACTGTCTAAAAACTTATTAAGGATGACCTCATACATTTCCTATCTTCCCTGACTCTGTTACTTGTTTTCTATTCATTTTAGCCCTTATTTAGGTAGTCTACAATAAGAAGGTTCTAGGGACTATTGCACTCCTAGGATATTTTAATCTCCCACTCTATCCTTTCTGTCTAAGTTTGAATGAACCATGCTTTAGGATGGTTGGACCTAACCTCCATCTTTGAATCCCCTTAGACTATGCAATTAAGACTTCCCACAGCTTGTTCAAATTGTTTAAGCTGCTGATGCACATACAATAAGTGCACTAGTTATTGAAATTGTATGTGAGTTGCTGCAAATTTAAGCACCTAATCATTGATAATGTGTGGTAAATAAGAGCATGTGTGAAAATGGAAAATGAACACTACACACAACTGGCACATGGCGGGTGAGGTCAGGGCTCCAGACACAGTATATGCCTACTGCAACCAAGACAAATATAGAAAAATAGCTAAATCTAAGATCATATAAGTGATGATTAAAGATCTTATCAAAGTGTGACATCATGTCACCAACATCATTAAACACAAACAACAACACACTAAACATTCATCAACAACACCAATCCAGAAAAACATAAAACAGACCTTTAATCTTCTATGTATTTAAAATGTCTTAAGTTTAAAGATACTTTAAAACAATAGTCTTCCTAAGGTTCTTCCTGTTTTCCAAGTTATGTTGAGAGCAGCATGAGCATCAACAATACAGTCTCCAAAGACCAGCATTGTCACCTTGCTTTACAAGGTCCCCGCACTGTCACAACCTGCACTGTCACAACCTGCTAGTGGCGGTGCTAATACATGCTGCAGCCAAACAACACCAGACCTAGTAGGTCCAACAAGTTGCATACTTGCACTCGTCTTATTCACCACCTCATTACGAATAGAAATGATGTAAATAACGTTCATTTTGTAGTAACCATTCAAT